CAGTGGCCGTTCCCGGCCACCGCAGCCTCACCTGCTGGGCTCCAGCGATCCTTCCGCCTCAGCCTTCCAAGTAGGCTGATTTTTTTGATATATTGTAGAGATGAGGTCTCGCCAAGTTGCCCAGGCGGGTCTCGAACCCGCGGGCTCAGGCAATCCACTCACCTCGGTCTCCCAAAGCGCTAGGATTACAGGCTGAGCCACCGAGCCTGGCCACCCATATAGCTATTGAATGAATAAGTTTGGCATGGGTCACTCAAATTAGGAGAAGTTAGCTGTCTTCCCTGTCCTTGGCCTGTATTCATTCTCATCCCAGCCAGGAATCCACCTCACCTGAACATGTATGCACAGACCTCCAAACAACAGCAGCACTGCAGCATGGACCAGGTACACAAATACCTGAGGACTGAGGAATCCAGGATCAGGTTTTTCTAGGGTCTTATTCTTGTTCCTTTGCAGCCCAAGTGTAAGGCAGAGCCAAGGGTGGGTGGTCACGTATGTCCATGTTGCCCAGACAACCAGTATAGCCACTGGTGTAGCCAGTAGAAAATTGGGCACCTGCCTGAGCTCATAGTATTTCAAAAAGCCAACATTCCAGTAGACATCCTGTATATAGCTGTATATTAGGGGAAGGTCCCAGAAGCACCAAGGTGGCTCATTTCCATCTGCAATCCGGTAGCCCTTGTCCACAGCTAACTGTACCAAGGGCTCAGGAACAGGGTAGGCTGTGCCTGGCAGACAGAATTGGGTGTAGGCATAATATTGAAAGAGGGCAAAAGGAAGGGCAACTGTAAACACTGACAGAAACAGAGAGACCATCAGCTTAAAGAGCTGTCTCAGGGGATTCAGCACCATAAGGGAAGAGACAAATCCTTGGCAGTGAGAATGCATGAGGAAGCCAACACTGACCAGCCCATTGGAGCGTACACCAGTGGCAAGGGCAAAGAGGAGTCCACTAGTCCACACTCGGCCCCTCTCCAGTTGCCCCATGGCGCTGAATGTCAGGAGGGTAAACAAAGCTTCTGAGTAACCAGCTGCCAAGAAGACATTGGCAGGGCTGAGGCAGAAGAGCAGCGCTGCATAAAAGGCCTGGCGAGGACAGTGCAAAACCAGACAGCCCAGATCATGAAGTGCAACTGCAGCCAGCACATAGAACAAGGTATTGAGTGATGCCACTGAAATTAGTAGGCAACTGCGAAGGTTCAGCAAACTCCACAAGGGTCTCAGCAGTTCAGTTCCCACCAACAGGGCCAAAGGGAAACCAGGAAAGAAGGCAAAGTTGTGCTCATACAGGTAGCCATGCTCGGCAATGAACAGGAAGTGTTCAGCATCCCAGCGAGACAGGCCACCCAGAAGACTTTCCACAAGTTGGTCCACAGAGCCTGAGGGGGCCAGACGAGGAGGAGAGAAAGCTTCTGCATGGTGATCTGGGATGATGCCATTGAAGAGGGCCTGTGGGGTGAAAAATCAGAATTTTGGTTGAGTGACTGGAAGAACTGCCATTTAATAAAATGAGGAAGAAAAGACTTGTTGGGGGGTGGGAGTCAGGAGTTCAGTTTTGGACTAGTCAAGTTTGAGATGGACACTCTAGTGCAGAAGTCAACTAGGCAGTGAGCTCTATGAGTCTGTGGGTCAGAAGAGAGATCAGGACTAGAGATATAAACTTGGGATTCATAATTGCACAAATAGTATTTATTTATTTATTTATTTTTGAGTCAGAGTCTCATTCTGTCGCCCAGGCTGGATGGAGTGCAGTGGCACATTCATGGCCACCACAGCCTCGACCTGCTGGGCTCACATGATCTTTCCGCCTCAGCCTTTCAAGTAGCTGGAACTACAGGTGTGTGCCACCATGCCCAGCTAATTTTTTGATTTATTGTAGAGATGAGGTCTCGTCAAGTTGCCCAGGCTGGTCTCGAACCCCTGGGCTCAGGCAATCCTCTTGCCTCTACCACCCAAAGAGCTGGGATTATAGGTGTGAGCCACTGCGCCTGGTTAGATAACTTTTTTATTTATTTTATTTTATTTTAGAGTAGGAGTCTTACTCTGTTGCCCAGCTGGAGTGCAGTGGCACACTCAAGGCCATGGCAGCCTTGATCTGCTGGGCTCGGGTGATCCTTCCGTCTCAGCCTTTCAAGTAACTGGAACCACAGGCGCATGCCACCACGCCCAGCTGATTTTTTGATTTATTGTTCAAGACCAACCTGGGCAACTTGGTGAGACCTCATCTCTACAATAAATCAAAAATTAGCCAGGCGTGGTGGTGCATGTCTGTAGTTCCAGCTACTTGGAAGGCTGAGGCGGAAGGATCGCCAGAGCCCAGCAGGTCGACACTGGGGCGGCCATGAGTGTGCCACTGCACTCCAGCCTGGGCAACAGAGTATGGGTACAACTCAAAAAAAAAAAAAAGACTAGTGGCCAGGCATGGTGGCTCATACCTGTAATTTCGGCACTTTGGGAGGCTGAGGTGAGAGGATTGCTTGAGCCAAAAAGTTCAAGACCAGTCTAGGCAACATAGTGAGGCCCCATTTCAACAACAAAAAATTTTTTTTAATTAGCCGTTTATGGTGGCAGGTGCCTATAGTCCTAGCTACCTGGGAGGCTGAGGCAAAAGACTCATGATCCCAGGAGATTGAGGCCGTGTTAAGCTGTGATTGTGCCCACTGCATTCCAGCCTAGATGACAGAGTGAGACTGATTCTAAATAAATAAATAAATAAATGAACAAATGAATTAGTCAGGCGTGGTGGCATGTGCCCGTAGTCCTACCTATTTAGGAAGGTGGGGTAGAAGGATCACTTGAGCCCAGGAGGTTGAGGCTGTGGTGAGCCGTGATCTTGCCACTCCACTCCAGCCTGGGCAACAGAGTCACTGTGGCTCAAAAATAAATAAATAAACAAACAAATAAATAATAAAAATAAACTTTAAAAAAGACTAGTTAGGCCACATTCGGTGGCTCAGCCTGTAATCCCGCGCCTTGGGAGGCTGAGGTGAGTGGATTGCCTGAGCCCGCGGGTTCGAGACCCGCCCGGGCAACTCTGGCGAGACCTCATCTCTACAATAGATCAAAATGA